AAATTTTGGGGGGAAACGTTTTTCTTAAATATACTAGTATTTTGTGACATATGAGGATGGCATTCGGAGAATAAACTGGTTGTTGTGGGTTCGGTGGTGTAGTAGTAGCATATCTGCCTGGCAGTCAAAAGGTGTAGGTTCAATTCTTGGCCATTCTTTGGCTTTTTCCCGGCTTTTTTTGCCTTCCATTTTCTGTTACTCAATCCCCCTCCATAACATCATTTTTGCTTGAGTAAAACGGAGGGACATGGAAAGTTGAAACTTGGCATGGACGTGCCTACCGAGACGATGAGTTCAGAAAATATGCAAACTTTTAGATTCATGTCCTGGGAGCATAATTTTGTGAGCCAATGTTTTTAAGTATTATTTTTGTCCTGGCATATTGAACTAGTGTGGACAGATGAAAATTGGTACATAAATACCTATTGGGATGCTGCATACAGAAAAATTCCGACTTTGGAGGAAAATGCCCGCTGGCACAAATATCAAAGGGATATGTTTTCATTTAATTTTTTTTGCATTAGTTACACTGATAAGCATAGAAAGCTGAAACTTTGCAGGAATGTGACTATAAGAAAAGGAGTTAAAGAAAAATGTTAAGTCTCGATTCATCATCAGTGGAATTTTTCAGAGGGGCGATGCTTTAGAAAAAAAATTTTCTCGTGGCGAATTGTACGGAAATGGAAAGGTGAAACTTAGCACACGTATAAGTGACATGATATTATTGAGTTGAGGGAGTATTCAGCATTGAAGGTGCATACCCTCCTGGCATAGCTTTTGGGTGGGTCGGCTTTTCCAAAAATAGTACTTTTCGGTTACAACGCCTGAGGGCACATATTTTCCAAAAGCCGTATTTTCCCGAATTTTCTGATCCAGCAAAACGGAGGGGGCAATGAAGTTTAAACTTGGCAAAGAAGTACCTGATGGACAGCTGAGTAAAGAAAATATTCGAATTGTCTTATGTATATAGTTTCATAGCGGTTCAGCTCTTGGTGTGTCTCCTCAGGGTACAGCTTTTGGGTGGGTCACTTTTCAAAATACGTTTTTCTGCGCAGCAAAAAAGAGGAAAAAAATGCTTAAACTGGGTGGCCTGGAGTTCCTTGAGTCTACATTTTAGAAGAAAAAAATTTTCCGTTCAGTGTTCAGTGCTCTTTTTTCAGTCACATTTTCCTGAATTTTTTTTATCCAACGAAACAAAGACAGAAAATTTAAACTTCCCTCAAAAGTACCTGTTTGATTCCTGAGTACAGGAAAAAATCCTACATTTGAAATATGTCCCCTTAGCGTAGATTATCGGAGGGAAGTATTTCTGAATGTATTCTCCACCCTTACAAAAAAGGACACAAAAAAATATAGAGTTAGGCACATTAGAAATAATAGAAATGATCTTGATTAAAAAATCAAGACTTTCTTCCATATATGTCATGTATTTCAATGGGGACGTACTTTACGTACGTGTTTCCCATTTCGGGAAAAAAAAGAATTAATCAGTAACCAAGGTGATGGAGTGCCGAAGGCGCGACCATAGCGAGCTTATTTATCGCCTGGGCTCCATGACTCTGTCTCAAATCTGGGGATAAGTAATTTTTGTGTCGGATTATAGTGCTTGCTATTATGAGACTAGGAGAAACATATGGTGAGGTACTAAACACTCCTGTGAGGAATGATTCCTTTGAAAGAGGGAAGTGAAATTTTGTGTACTACGCGAAAAGAGAAACCCATGTATCCATCTAGCGGTCAAGAGGAAAACTTCAGCATTTCCAAAAAAAATACCTTCTACGTGCAACCCGGGCACATTGGATCATCGCTTCAGTCTGATATTGGATCGATGATGGAATGGCAATATTTGGAAGCCAATATTTAGCCGATATTTTCAATAACGGCAAACTGTATAGACATGATGCCCAATGTTGGTCTGGAATTGTGTCAATCTCTGGTGTTTCTGGTGTGGTAACACTGAATAGGTTCTTGGACGTTTCTTGAAATACCTCATAAAAATTATATTCCTTAACTTGCGATGCATGCTCCATGATACTACCATTAATATTATTCAAAATACGATTAATGAAAGTATCATAGTGCCATAGCACTGCTATAATATTCACGCAACGTTGGACTTTGATATTCAAAGTCTAGGGGAACGTTTCCAGAACGCTACTATGTTTGCTTGGTTGTTTCTTCCTCATTCTCACTTTCAGTTCGCAATAATTGAATTATTATGTCCCTTGGCATTCAAGTGAAACGCAACTTTTGAATTAGGAACACCAAAGTATGTAGGATGAAAGGTCGTGATGGGAGGAAAGAGGCCGGGAAGCAGGAACGAATTATATCTGGGAATTTCAACTCGACAAGAATTCATTAGACGGAATTTTTAAATGTGAACTTGACCTATTTCGCAATTTTATCGGCATCTTTGCCTAGTGAATGAGAAATAAATAAATGCATCCCATCACAGTCTGGTTTATTGGCAAATAAAAAATGGTATTGGAAAATACAGAAAAATCTTCTCCTCTAGCTTCACATTGTATTTAAAATAACCTTTAAATTGACAGAATTACAATGAAAATGCCACTTATAAGGTGGATAATGCCTCCCCAAGAACTGTACAATGTGATTCCTCTACAAACCCAGAAGTATCTGCGCTTCTTCGCATGTAAATACCAATCTATGCAATTTGCTTTAGGTACCCTGAAATTTCCGCGAAATGGCGAACTTTCTTCTCTTCCAGGGCAAGCAACTTCTCTACATAGGATCCATTCTGACCTTCAGTTCTCCTTCTTTTGGATGATGGGGCCCCCTCCTCTTTCTTATGTCGGCGTTCTTTCGCCTCAGGAAGTCTAAATATAAATTTCCAGCCATGCTTGAGAGATGTATGACTTCTCAGAATATGTTGTAATACCTTCTCAAAGCTCTCATTTAAAACTTTGCACAACTGCAAAACTATGCGAACCCAATTATATTTGAATAAGTGCATACCTTGGTTCACTATGAGCACATGAAGTTGATGGTTCATCGACACTTGCTGGGCCCGATTGATAGAAAATCGACTGTTCGATGCCAGGCTCAATTAAGCCCGGAAGAGGTACGACTGGAGACGCTACAGGTGCACTTTCAGGTGCATCTGTGTCGCCACCACCTAGCACTCCAACAACAGACTCAATCCCAATGACGACCAAAACTTTCACTTCTTCCGGGGTCAAGTCATCTTCCGGTGGACTTCCACCACCAGTTCCTGCACTGGTCATCCTTCTCTTGGTCTCCTTTTGCTTGACATTTGAGGCGAGATTGCTCCACTTCTTCTTCACATCGTCGATTGTTCTTGGGCTCTTCGATGTGGCATTTACTTGGTCCGTTATTTCCGCCCATGCATTTTGCTTGGTTGAAGAAGTCAGGGTCGATGTGAATCATCTGATTGGAAAGAAAGTTCTCGGAATTTCATGAACAATTATTACAACCCAGTTTATTTAAAAGCAAAATCATCTCAATCATGAATGTAATCACCATTGGCCTCTATCACTTCACCCCAACGNTTCTGGAAGCGACTGTACCAATCATAGGCAGTGCTCTTGGACACAGTGTCCGGGCCAAACGCGGTATTGATGTCAGCGATGGAATCGGCTGCCTTCTTCTCGATTCGGAAGTCATAAAGAAGAAGCAGGCGAACTTGCTCCTTAGTAAGAGGGTAGGGCTGGTTCATGGCTGGAGAGCACCAGGGCTGTAATAATATACGGTTGTATGCCGAAGAACACGACCTACTTATAAACACACGCAGAACATTCTAGCATGCTCTGGAAAAAAATTGTACTGGATATTCAAGAAATTCCGAGAGCTTTCTTTCCAATCAGATATAAAGTAAAAATAAAGATAAAGTAAAGATAAAGTAAAGATAAAGTAAAGATAAAGTAAAGATAAAGTAAAGATAAAGCTGTAAGTCACCGATCTGCCCGACCAGGCAACTCATACTAGGCGAGGATGTTTGTCAAGGTGACAAACATTTTGTCGTCTGCTTGCTATATATTGGGCCGCGCCACTGCATAAGCCCTCTGGGCAACGTGTCGGTTCTTGCCCTGTGTTTCGAGGTGTTGTCAGCATTATGCGTCGTTACATAGGAAAATTCTTCAGTGTCTTTTTTCTTGTGCATTTAATGAAGTTTCTCTTTCCTCTCCTCAGAGATTGTTCGGGTAAGTTTCAGGCAGTCGCAGACTCTAAGCAAGTTCCGTGTGTGGACGCATGCTATGTCTTCCTCCTTGCTTGCTTATTTATGAATGGAGACGCATTGGGCTTTACAGTTGCACGCGACTAATCACACAGTCCTGTTTTCGTTTCGAGCGCGCTCCCGCACAAGTTACAGCACTTTAGTTCAGCACTTAAAATTTGCTGTATAGCATTCTTAGTGTTTGTTTCCAATTAATGTACGGTGTGTACATTTTTCTGATAGTAATGTCCTTCAAATGCGCCCACAGGTGGTATTTCCTTGGATATTTTTCCAGCAGAATGGAGCGACAGCACACACAGCTAATGCGACCTTGCCGTTCTTGAAAAAAAAAATTTTCTTGCAGAATCATAAGTCGTGGAATTTCACCACCACGATCTCCTGACCTATCTCAACCAGATTTCCACCTTTGTTGGTATTACATACATCACCGAATGATGCATCTCTCCTAATTTTCTTCCGAAAGCAATCCATTCTTATTCGCTAGACCCTTAGAAACTTTGAGATGAAGGAGAAATGACCGCTGCTGGGCCATATTCAACGGTCCTGTCCTTTTCCTTTGCTTAGAGTCTTGGAATAGTACTTACATACGGATCTGTAAGTTCTTCGTGAAACTCCTGCCTCTCGAAGGATGGTTGATCATCTGCATCATCATCATCGTGAAGAACGTCAGAAAAGGCAATGATCAAGAAGGAAAAGTTTCAGGAACTATCGGGAAACCTCCTCGCATCGACTCAAGGACAAGCAATAGCCTCCGTGTGGGTGGGGAGGTTCACGTCAATGTGTACTACTCCGGTTCCGTAAGTTCCAAGTTCACGCTATGACTCTTGCCAAGATGTGATCGTCGCTTTCCTCTGTGGCTGGGTGGCTCAAGGTTCCGACTTGGGTGGCTCGTCTCTGCCGTCAACCGAGCAACCTTTCTTCTTCGAGGAATCGGATCAATTGATGTACACTGCAGACCGGTTCGTGGCCGTAATTTTACGTCATTTGTAACAACTTTCCCTAGGGCGGAAAGTAAATCTAAAATAGTACGTATTTTTGTTGCTGTTGCAAGATGTATTGATTCATGCGGCATGGTCCCCCCCAAATGGCAGGCGCAACCTAAGTAGTAGTCATTCTTGATGTATGTTCCGGCAGAGATCGACGATCTTAACGAAATACAAATATCAAACATTGGTCTGAGTTAGAGGTGAACATATTATGAATCAAATGGGCGAGAATGTATTCCAAAACATGGAATGCCGCTAATTTTATTTTTTTACTAGTAGGTAGCCCGTGCAAAAGCACGGACGTATTTAAAGGCAATGATTACGCACATGGCCATGGAAGGCGGTCGCCACACTTCCGTCCCCTCCCCCTTTTCCCTGAGCTGGCCATGTGAGAAGACAGGACGCGGTAAAGGCACAATTAATTACTCGGTCTGCCCATGCGCTTCGTTAATCGTCATTGCAAAGGACGGGGAACCGACATTAAGCGAAAACGAAGAGCAACCCAAAGATCAAGGTGTTACCTTAAATCGTCCATTCGTAGGACAATGTGGTATGTGGGATTTTTTTTGGCGGTCTCACGCTATTCACATTGCCACCCCCCGCGCACCTTTCCAAACGTTATTGGTCTTACGCCACGCTGCATGTACCTGTTACTACTGCTCGCTACTAAGCTAAGAAATAACTGGAGATAGCGCACCCGTGATGTATTAGACTGTGGCTTGGGTTCGGTGGCGTAGTGGAAGGACATTAGTTCTGTATTCGAGATCGACTCGAGACCCTTTGTTCGATTCCCACCCTCTCCATCATTTTCTTTTCGGCCTCTTTTGTCACCTAAACTCTCCCCCCCCCCCTGGCTACTACGTTCTCGAGAATAGGTCGAGAAAAAATGCCCCAGGGATCCCAATGAAACTAAGCATCTATGGAGTTTTTAAATCAAATATTTCTCATTGACTCGTAAAACTAAATTATCCATCGTGCAATAGTATGAATTTGTGTAGCACATTTCCTCAAGATTGCTAAACCACTACTTTTTCTTACATTTTTTGACGTTAATTTTACAGAAAGCACCCTTCCTCCAAAGGTTCTGCTTCATATGCCGTCCTAAGAATAAATTATTTTCGTCATGCTTTTGTTGTCTCATAGGTGCAACTTAACCCTGATGTACCCTTCATCGGGAGTCCTTCTCTGGGCATGGAATTTGATGGTGTCGAGGTAGATTTGCGAACAAGAATCGACTCCACCACAGGAGAAATTGCCCTTACAGACTTCCAAATTCCCAAATTGAAGTGAGCTTATTTTTATTCGACGCATTACTCCACTTCCAATGTCCGAAATTTCCCGAATGATCATAATCTGTCTCCCTCAGATATTCAGTGCCGATATGGACTACACTCTACCTCTCGGCGCTTGCTGCAACGCTGGCTGTGACTTGTCCTCCCCTGGCTGCCATCCTCTTTGTGATATTCCAGATATTGTTCTCGGGGGATAGCCAGCGACTCATCAGAAGCAAAGTGCAGGAAAAAACAAAGGAACACCTCAAGAGCGCTCTGCATCACATAAACCTCCACGATTATTTATGATACTAGTCTAAAAGCCCGTGCGCGCATTGTCTGAAAAATGTGGAATGCGAACATTTCGTGCAAGACCTTCTGTTCTTTCCGCGTCAGTTTCACTATTCCTGGAAGCAGCCTGCGAATCAGCGCCCTGTGAACGTCTTCATGCATGCATATCCACTGCCTGTGACTCCATAACTTCTCTATTTCTCACACACTCAGAAAATCCTGCCGCAGACTAGTTTAAACATCCACACTTTTTCGGGCATTTTGAGAACGCCAAAATTTTTAAGATAAAAATATAATATTGGAGCACCAACTCAATGCTGCAAACTCGCATGAAGCACCAGGGATGAGACTGGTAACGCGATAAAGTATGGCATATGATCGTTGGCAACTGTTACCATAAAAACAACTTCCATTGCCGACAATGTTTCACACTACAGGGTGGTCGGAAAGTCAGGAAACCCAAACAAATACACATTTTGTCCATACTATACAAGATGGACCCTTCCTACATTGCACAATTATAGTTCAACATTAATAAAATATATTTAGGAGAATGTTATCTCAGTACACAAGTGTTAAGCCAGAATTTCGCTTAGTCATTCAGTTTCAGGTATGGTGTTCACGATGGAGCACCGTGTTTTCCTTGTTGAGACTTATCTGAATCATAAATCTTACAAGCTGTGTCAGAAAGCATTTCAAAAGAAGTTCAACATTCGCGTGGTGCCAACAAAGTCTGCAAACTGGAAGTTGGTGAAGCGATTTCGTGACACAAGAAGCGTTCTCGCTAGAAAACGCTTTCTGTGTTCCGTTCTTCCTTTCTCGCTGGACCTCGCAGCAGGAGACCAGGTTAATCGAATGAAATGGTGGAAGGAACAGACTTGAACAGAGCCCTTCACAGTCCATGCGACATGTTCGAGCTGTGTTCAAGGAAAGAGTGATCTCAAATGGACTTTGGCCACCCAGGTCCCCAGACCTCACCTCACCCGATTTTTTCTTATGAGGATATGGGAAGGAGCGAACCTACAAAACAATCCCCATTCAGGTTAAAAATTGAAGGACAACATCACAGAGATCGTGGGCGGGGTTCCTATCGACATGTTGGAAAGTGTGGCTGGAAACATGTGTAGAAGAGGACAGCTACGTCTAGGTGTCCAAGGGGGACACTTTCAGCATATCATATTCACGTGAACACGCACATGTTGAACTGGAATTGCACTGTGTCGGAATAATTTGTTTTACATGGTATAGGCATCGCTAATAAATGTCTGGGTTTCCTGACTTCACGATCACCCTGTACCATTGTTGGTTTTGAGCACTTCGCCTTCGAAGACATTCAGTACGATGCTATTCTTATATGGGAAAATAGGCCTCATAATGTGAAAATGGTAGAACTTTTTGAGCTCTTGACGTTATCGCCAACAGGTTTCCAATGACACAAATAGTTAAAATTGAGGCACACAAAACGAATTTAGAACAATTAGTAAACGAGATGGAGGGCAGGAGGAAAAGACTCCCCATTTCCCTTTTGTAGCGAGGAGGAACGGTGAGTTCCACAGTATAGCATTCTAAGGGGACGCAACTTTAAAATTTCAAACAGAGCTGCTTTCGACTAATTATAAAGGGATGCGTTTCGTCTATAGGGCAATCGCCTGTATGCAACTGTGGAGCAAGTTTCACTTCTTAACATTAAAGTGTGACCTGTCATTTTCATTTTAGAACGCCACGGAAGAATAAAGGAAGATTTTAAGCTTGGCCGGTAAGCGGATCGGCTCGATAGGACCGATCTGACCCGTGCATCGGGCATGAAGCGAGATTGAAAATCTATTAATAGTTTCCGATCGAGTACGAGAGAATGCGTCATTTGAGACCTTGAGTGCTAAAGCTCTAAAGACAAAACAGTCTTTGGATAGGTCCGTTCGGAAATCATGTTTCAGGTCTAGTGAGGGTTATGACGTTTGAGGACTTCTCCCGGGAAGGGTTCGATATAATGCTGTTTTTATTGGCTGAAACTTGGCCTGATTACATGAAAATGGGAAGATTTCTTGGACTTTTGATATAGGAAGTATCGCCTTTGGCATTCGATTTATGTGTGATTCATGAAAATCGGTTCGTCTGTCTAGGAGGAGTTTCACCGGACTGACACCCCTTACGAAAATGTCTTATATAAGGAATATATAGGAATATATCAAAGGAATATATATAGGAATATATCGTCAAATGAATATATAGGAATCCTATAG